GGATAGAAATAAAATGATTTTTGGAAAAGAGAGTAAAGGTGCTTTTGTATATCTCTTATTAAAAAGGCATTCAGAAAACTATCATACTGTGAAGGCACATGGGGAGAGGTGCCCAACCTAGAGTTCTCAATTTAAGCAATGTGTTTTTTTGTAGAAATTGATGTCTTAAATGAGATTTTCATTCTACTTTGGCAACTGTTTTGTTCACTCAGTTTTCTTCCGTAGACAATTTTGTCAAAGAGCTTTCTACATCTGATTTTTCTCTCCCTTAAATGCTATAAACCCACCGTATCACTCAAATCTATCTGCTCCTACATCAATTAACTCCAGTTACTGAGGTTATCAACATTATAATCATCAAATGTAGTAAACTCACTTCATAATTTTATGTAAGCACCAACTCTATAAAAATTCTGGAAAAAATTTTTCTTATTTGTTTTCCTTAACAAAATGCAAGGTTAGTTTGAAATATCTTCTTTCACCTATCTCTTGAATATTGTTGTTCTCCAGGATTCTGTTGCCTTTCACCTAAGCAGCTTTATTTATTCTCATGGCTTATCCACGTTGTTCTGAATATTCTTTCACCTAAATTAACTGTCTCTTCTCCATTGCTTCTTTCTTTAGCTTTCATTTAAAAATTTATGATTTTTCCTTTTCTAGACTCCCTTCTAGAATTTTCATCCTCCACGCTGCCAGTAGCTATATTCATATTTCTAAAGCACACATTCTCACCCACCTTGTGTAATTTCAGTCCAATTTATGGTAGTCAGAATCTGCTATTTACCTTCTAGAGTGCAGGAATAAAATATCAGAACTGTTATATCTATTAATTTTATTTCATTTTATTTCTAATTATCCTTTTCATGTCTAAAATGTGTAGTATATTATTGATAAAAATAAAAAAGATATTTATCATGGAACTCATACTTCATAAAGGAGTGAAAAATGAGAAAAATCACTGGTGCATAAAAGCTACTGCAAACTTACTAGAAGTTTCTATAGTTCACAATATTGTATATTGAGTATGAATATAAATAAATTACATACATTAACCCTAATTCTCACTCCACTGTTTTATTAAACATCTATTGTAAGCCAAACACTGTAATAATCATGCTGTATTCAAATCATTCATTGTTTACATAAAATTTATTTGTCTAAACCTATGTCTTTATTTTTTTAAAGATGTCTTTTAACATGATTTTTATATATGAATGAAAGAAATATTGTTTATGTCTTTTAACTATTGAATCTAAGTTGGAATTTTTTTGTTAGAGTAACCTAACTACAAAGCTAATACGAAAGTGATACAGCTCCTATTATCTGAAATTACACAACATCTTTTCTTGTGAAATATTTTCCTGGTATCATAGCTGTCAAGTGATGTTATAGTTGTAATTACAGACAAAGCTATACACACGGCTCCATTATAGTTTCTAGCTTTCTATACTTTGTCTCAAGAATTTATAACGTGGTAATGGTAATATCACAGGGGATGAAAATTCTCTGGATTTTAACTCTTAAACACCCTATAAACATATGTGTGTGTTTATTTTATTTTTATTTTATTTTTATTTCGGCATATTATGGGGGTACAAATTTTAAGGTTTCAAAAAGTGCCCCTCTCCCCCTCCCCCCACAATATGTATGCGTTTAGAGTTGAGGAGAATGCCATTTCGCTTCTACTTTGGACAGGGTTTGAAGAGTTTTTATAAATGAACAATTGAGTCATATACCATTATACTGTTGAGTCCAAATTACAGTACCTTTAATAAACAAGTAAGGTTTATTAATGTTATGTTTATGTTACCATATTTTTCAATAAAATCTACAGCATTTTGTAATCAGTGTGTGTGAATACAAAATGACTTCATAGAGGTTTTTTGGTTATGCTTTTTTTTTTTTTTGGCTGCTATTTTCATTTATTTAAGTTTTCACAAGGCGGAAATGCAATGCATCAAGCCACTTTCTCTTTGAAGACATAAATGCACAATAATTAGGGACCAAGAGAGTTTTAAGAATCACAGGATTAGCCCCTCAATAAAGCAAGCTCACATCTGCAGCCAGTCTAAAAATTTCACACAGACCTAATTTTGTGTCAATGCAAATGTAATTTGTCTCCTAGCATTTACACGTGGAAATAAATTGGTAACTATGTTTAACTCATTCGCTACTTAATCTTTATTTTAGCTTTTTCAACTAGGCTACTGGGAAAATAATATACCTGTGCTACTGTAAATTTGTGCTTTACAGCTACAAAATTATGTCAATCTTACCTAGTGATTCTTCTGGTTCTCTCTAAAGCCCAACTTTCTCGCCTGTGTTCATAAATGTATATACAATTGATTTTTGAATACTTATACTGGAAAATCACTTAGATACACTTCAGATTTAGCATATGTGTAAGTGATTAGGACATCCCTCTCTCCCTTGCTACCATGTTTCTCTACCTGGTCTTCCTGGGATTTTTTCTCTTTTCTTAAATCAACAGCCTTCGACACCTTGTAGGTCTACTATTTTAATATTTCTGGGTTCCACCAGCCTTGTTATATTTCTCTTGCCACTGTACTTAATCAATCATTGCTATGATTTCACTAGATTAGTGCCATCATCTCCTCCATAAGTGGGTCATTTCTTGTAATTGTACTCACTGGTGTGTTCCTCCCCTTGCTATTAGACTAATACCATTAAAATACAGCAAGTCTTCACTTAACGTTGTTGATAGATTCTTGGAAACTGCTACTCAAGCAAAGTAACCTACACCAGGTCCTTGAATAACGTCATTTTCTTTAGTATCTTTTTGTTACGTTGATGAAAAAAATTGGTTTTGTTATATGTCGTTTCGTTTAGTCACAGTTTCCAAGAATGTATGGTTGATGTTAAGTGAGAACCAACTTACTGCAAAATCATCCCTGTTAACCCCTACATGAAATCTTTAAGAGGCTCTCCATTGCCTTCAGATGAAATGTGAGCTCCTTTACTGACAATGTCTTCCCCTTGTTGATATAATCTCTTTCTAAATCAAGAGCTTATTTCATCATAATTCCTTTTTTCTCTATGATTAGAAAACTACTTCTCTCACTTCCTTAACGATGTACAGTGTCAAACTTGTCTCAAAATCTTTAGACAAATGCTTTCTCCTTGTATATTCTTCCTTTGATAATTTTCCCAGATGATCCTAGTTCATCATTTTAGTGTAGACCTTGTTTCCTAGACTAGATTAAATGTCCCTGTTTCATGTCTCTTACCCCTCTACTCCTCTAGACCATTTTGTTGATAGCAATTTGGTGAGGTTTCCTGGTTAATTAATCTGTCTCCTTTATTTCATTCTTAATTCTTTACATTGACACCTTATTTCAATTGATCACTGATGAATTCCTTGTACCTACCACATTGTCTTACACATAGATTTGGCTCAAATATATTTATTTAAAGTATTTTTTGAAACTTTTACCAAAAGGAAACTTTTAGTGGAAGTACAGTGATGATTAACATATTTTAAATGAACATGATTATGCATAACAATTCCATGAAAATTTTATTTTTTATCATTCTACATGCATTAGTGTTATATATCACTTATATTAACTTATATTTTATAGGTTTATAATATCAATAATTGAAGTTGCAAAGAGATGATTTATAACACAAATTTTATTTCTACATGATATGGATTAACCATTAAGATATTGGACTTACCATAAATATGTGGTGTGAATTAGCAAATTAATTCCATCATATAATGGGATAAGATAATTTATTTTAGTAATATTTAATTAATGGTCACAGTGTAGAAAATAATGAGATTTTAAATCTGACAAACCTGAATTTTAATCCAAGATATGTCACTTACATGCTGAGTGAAATTTCATAATAACAAAAAGCAAAAGCTACCATTTATTCAATGACTCATACATGTTTACATAGTTTCATTCAATCTTCAATACTACCTTGTTATGTAAATGTACTTTTCCCCAAGGTACCTATATAAAAGTGAAGGGAACTAAATTTCATGTTGCCTAAGGACATAGAATTAATAGATGATATTCCTGAGATCCAAAGAGCATGTTGTTTTCCCTGTACTTATTTATCTTTCTTCTCTGGATTTGAATTTTTTTGTGAAGTTTACAGTTTATTTGTTAATAGAGTGATATGCACTCTATAATTGGTAGATACTTGTTTCTTTAACTGGGTTAATGTAATAAATTCAGAATTCCTGTATGGTATCTTGACCTCTGGAAGCAATGATGCCGTCCAATAGAACTGATGCCCTGGCCTCTCCTTTCACACCAGTGGTGATTCATGAAAGAGAAGGTTACTATCATATTGCTTCCATTTATAATCCTTTCATTACTCCATTTTATATTTCTTTTTCCCTCTTTATCTGCCACCCTTCCATCATTCCTGCAGAAGAAGTTGGTTGAAGACTCATTCTAAGTTTAGTCATTTGCACAACAGAATTTTTTATGAGTTCTTTATATATGTGGGAGCTCTCATTCCCTGGATTACCAATGATAGGAACATGATTGTCATCACCAAGCACTTTATGGCTTAGGTATGTATAAAAATATTACATGAAAATTATATTTAAATAATTTTTATTCTTATTTTATGTATTTTAAAGGTGCTTTTCTAAAATTAATCAGACGAGGAATACTTATATATCAGAAGAAAATTGAAACCATCCATAAAAGAAGAACCTTGAATATTGCTATGTTTTAGTTAGATTCAAGCTTGGTAGAAAGAGAACATGCAGTAAGTTGCTAGTTTAACTATGTCATGAAATCAAAACTTTTCAATAGCAAGTGATTATATAAGGCTGGCTTGACCCTGTTTTTCTTGATCTTGTTTCCCAAAGAAGGTCAACTGCTGCGAGCGACACTGTCCTTGCAATGTAGGCTCTTCTTTGTTCTAAAAATAAATATCTAGCATTTTCTATATCATTATGTAATTTAGGAAGAACTTAACTAACAATGTGTGTTTTTTGTTTAAAGGAACATGTGAAACACTTGAATTCTACCATTTCTTGATCAAAGTACACTGTCTTCAAAGCTACTTGTACTTTGGGAATAGGAAAAAGAAGAAAAAGCCAATATCCAGGAATCCCTGAATAACAACTCTGCTTGGAAATTTCCAGCAATACTTGAAGACCACTTTGCAGCAATTCTTTATGACACTTTCATGATAGACTGTAAAATACAATTTCCCAAAATGACTAACAAATCAATCATCATTTTGAGACTAGTGGTTCTTTATAGCTGTTTTACAAGTGGAAAAACTACATGTCGTCGGCAATTGGTGAAAGAATGGGATCCACAACCCTCATCATATGTGGTGAATTGGACAGTAACAGAAAACATCTGCACGGACTTCTACAGAGACTGCTGGGTTTTAGGTGTAAACACTGAAAGGGATACTTTAGGCAATCACATTGTTCCGCAGATTTGCCCTTTGCAAATTCAACTAGGAGACATCCTTGTTATTTCCTCCGAACCATCTCTTGAATTTCCAGAAATAAATTTGATGAATGTTTCTGAAGCATCCTTCATTGACTGTGTGCAAAGTACCACCACAGATGATCAGTTGCTTTTTGGTTGCAAACTAAAAGGAATGCACACTGTTAATCCTCAATGGCTGAGTGTTGGGACACATTATTTTATCACGGCAATGGCAAGTGGTCCATCTCTTTGTCAACTGGGACTTCGACTAAATGTGACAGTGAAACAGCAGTTCTGCCAGGAATCTCTAAATTCACAATTTTGCTCTGGTCATGGTAAATGTCTTAGCGAAGTTTGGGACAAGACATACAGATGCCATTGTCAGTCTCCATTTTCTGGAAAATACTGCCAGGAACTTGATGCCTGTTCTTATAAACCATGTAGAAATAATGGAAGTTTCATTAATAATAGAGGAAAATGGAATAAGCAAGGACATGAATGCATCTGTCACCCACCATTTATGGGTAAGATTGCTTTAAAATAGCATAATTCTATTAAAAGTAGGAAAACAAACTGAATTCATCTACTGTTAATTAAAGACAAGCTACATTTAAAAATAATTTTGTAAATGCCTTAGAATGGGCTAAATTTGGATTCAAAATATGTAAAATTCTCTAAATATTTTCTAAATATTTTCATGTCTTTCCGAACACTCACTCTTAATGTCTCATGCATTAAAAAATAAGATTATTAGAACAATATAAATGTTTTTAGTTATTGTATGAAATTCCCAAGATCACAGTATTTGGGTGAACAGTTCTAGGTGGTGATAATGTGAAAATGAAGTATGCATCGGGGTACAAGAAGTTACGAAACTATATGGTTATGAGGAAGTCATTGAAGTTGCTTGGCAGTGTTGGAGAGGAATAGATAATTGTGAGCCAGGACTGATGTTCTTAATGAATGTTGTGGCACCTACGAAGTGATTTAAATTACAGATAATAGTGACAAGGATGAAAAGATGATATAATTAATAACTAGTTGTAACAGACTAAACGAGAGGCAATGATCAGGAAAGGTTGTGAAAAGAAGATATTTTATGAGTAATTAAGCGAGAGGAAGGGCAATCTAAAAACAATGTAAATCATGCTAACTGAGGCTGAAGTGGATACTACTTCAGAGTTCATCAGGGAATTGGGGCCATCAGCAGAAAGTGAAAAGAATGATTGAAAATGTAGGGAACATTTGAAGTTTGGAAACTTATGAAAGAATGTATTTTAATGAGAGTTCCATAGATTTGGCATGGAGAGCTGTAAAGGAAACAAGTAAGGCTAGGATGATCTCACAAAGGGAAGTATTTCACAAATAATGGATTGGTAGTGTATTTTGATCGTGAGGAAGGAGATTGAACAGTAGGTATGTCTGGAGCAGACCACACTCAGGAATCTAACTGTAATTTTGTTGGGTGGGCTTTAGAGAGTTTCCTTCTATGGGGCTTGGGACCAATTTCACTGGAGCCAAGTTTGAAGAGGCTGTGTGATAAGATACGATTGAAGACCTCAACAAACCATTGTAGGCTCTAAAATTCACCTAGTGATATTTCAAAGAGTAATTTTGGACTTAATAGTAGGGGAGTACCAAGGCTATTTCAGAAGGTAATATCAAAAATATCCACTGAATACCTTGTTTCTATAAAGGGATTCAAATTCTCATTTGACTCTACTGACTCTATTGGTGATAAAGGTAGGAGTTATACCCCTGACTTACACTGAGGTGTATGAGGTAGTTAAAGTTAAGCCAGGCTAGAGCAAAAGTAAAAGTACTCAAATTGCTGTTTTGTGATGAATAAAAAGGAATTCAATTAAGCCGCTAAAGCCTACATTTTAACCTATCCAAAGAATTTTAAAGGATCTCCGATCAGAAAATTTATACTATGTATCAGAATATTAATTTACATGTATCACTCATATTTTGTGAAATATTGTATCAGAGGTTTTATTGTAACTGCATAGAGTGGTTTGTTTCTTACTCAGGATTAGTTTATTTATTTATTTATTTGATACACAGTGATAGGTGTTTTAAATCATTAAACTTTAAATACCATAAAATATCTAAGATTACTTATTTTTATGATATTAAGCATACTCTATTATGCTACTTTAATTACAAATAATTATTTCAGTTTTAAAAATTACCAAAGCAACTGAGAATACTCACTGGATTAGTTTTCTAGGGCTGCCTTAATAAAGTACCACAGACTGGATAGCTTAAACAACAGAAATTTATTTGCATCAATTTTGCATGCTAAAAGTTCAAGATCAAGGTATTGGCAGGTCTGGTTTCTTCTGAGACCTCTCTGCTCAGTTTATAGACAGCTGTCTTCACATTGTCTTTTCTCTGAACATGTCTTTGTTCAAATTTCCTCCTCTTATAAGAATACATACACATCATGTTAGATTAGGATCCATCTTAATGACTTTTTTAAAATCATAATTGTGTGCCTTTCTAAAAATTCTGTCTGAGTATTGGGACTTCAACATAAGAATGGGCATGCACAATTTAGCTCACAAAATTCACTAAATATGAAATGACCTATTGAACAATCTACTGTTAATTTAGTTTTTGTGTTTGAAAAACGATTTGGCACATAATTATATTTATTTATGTTTTCATTGTGTTTGGGGTTGTTTAGAGGTAAATGAAGAAAAAAGAGTTCTGCATTAGTAAGGCATTAGTAAGGCATGTCAGTATACAAGGAATTTGAAATGAATCAATGGTAATCGCAAAAACTGCTTACAAATTAATTAAGAGCTCAATTAAATTGGAAAAAAAAGCAAATTGCAAAATTAAAAGCAATAGTTTTGTAGCAACATTTGTCCACTTGACATGCCCTGGGATTTTCTAGGCACATTTCTCTAGTAAGGATATCATAAGATGATTAAATATGCATACAAAAATATGCTATACAAGGCTGTGATATAGTATGACCACAACAGTAGGAGAAGTGAGATCTGGAATATTTAATATACCAGCAAGGGCAAAGAAGTGTAGAATTTACAAATTTATGCATAGCTACTGAGAACCCAGGCAGTCATTTCTCCTTGGGAACGGTTCCCTTGGCTAGGTGGTAGGTCTAAGTCACAGGCTCAACTACGGCCCATTGGCCACATGCGGGTGTTTTTGTCCGTTTGTTTTTTTACTTCAAAATAAGATATGTGCAGTGTGCATAGTAATTTGTTCATAGTTTTTTTAAAACTATAGTCCGGACCTCCAATGGTCTGAGGGACAGTGAACTGGCCCCCTGTTTAAAAAGTTTGAGGAACCCTGGATGCATTTTGATGTGTCACTTTGTAAATTATTACTACAAAACTACCAGAGTATGTTGAAGAACTAGTCCTTACATGTGTTAACATTATCTACTATCAAAACACAGGTAAAATTTTAAATTATCATAAAAATTAACTAATGCTCAACTACCAAGAATCAGAAAAGTCTTTGAATATCATAGTATCAGATCAGAAGATGAAAAAGCTGATGTCAAATACCAAAACTATTTTTTATTCCATTTAAATGCATGATCATGTAACACTGTTTTATAATTGAAATTACATTTTATCAAATGTATTTAGTATTATTTACTATTAAACAATTGAGGAAAAAACCAATGATCATAATTAAATACTTCTATGCAATGTAAATAAACTTTTTTTTCAATTTTATAGGAAGGGATTGTTCAGAAATAATTGGCCAATGTCTACAGGTCTGTTTCCATGGAAACTGCAGCAATATTACCGCCAATAGTTTCGTTTGTGAATGTGATGAACAATTTTCAGGTAAAAAAAAAATGCATACATATATATATATATTCATATACACAAATAATTTTAATCCCATCTTATTCATTTCAAATAAAATTTGAAGCTCTTCATTTATCATTGAAAAATATAATTTTAAAGGTTGTATACTTTGACCTTTTTTATGGATAAGTTTAACAAATCAATCTGGTTAATAAAATGAAATGATTAATGATAACAATTCCATAATATAAGGAGAGTCTGAATGCCAGTTCACATGTTTTTCACCAGGATAAAATATATTTTGTACTTCAGTGCTAAAGTATTTTTAGAAAAGTGTACATTTGTATATAATTTCCATAATATATCTAACTTATTTCCTCAGGTAACTTGTCATTACAGACAAAAATCCTTTTATGAAGAGTAAAGTTTTTTTATACCTTCTCAAATGAATTTAAACAAATGAAATAAAATCATTGTTTAAATCAACAGCTTCTTAAATATTGGTTAAATGTTTAGACAATGAAAGTATCTTTAACCTGTTTCCATCTTCCCTTTGAACTCTTATACAGTTCCCCATTTTCTTGGACATATAGCTTACCCTCATTATATCTGTTCCTCTTTAAAGTGTCTGTAGGCAATGGTATCTTTAGCCACAATTAGACAACTAAAAAGTCTTTTTGTGAAAGTGAAACAATATGCATTTCTTCCAAATTCCAGAAAATGGTAGTATGTCCCAGTGTTTTTCTTATAGGCTTTGGAAACCTTACTGAGTTGAGGGAGATTTGAAATTTTGATATAGTACACTGACCACTTCTTCATAGTAGGAGAATTTGGTATTAATAAGTACAATGCAGGCAATAAGAACTCTGACAACGCTCTTGAAAGGAATTTGTTTTTGGTCTTTCTTCTCAAGTCTTCTATATACTTGACATAAATTATGACTTGAAAGATGTCTTACAATATCTAGCCATAGCTTGATATATATACGTCTATAAAATGTATATACTATGTATATACAATGACCATATAATTTATCTTCCAAACAATAACATCTTAGAACAAATGAAGTGGCTAAAGTAGTTACAATTATATAATTGAAATATTTACTTTTGATTGGAAATTTCATTCTATTAAATAGATAGGCATAAAATAGCACTACTAAATTTTTTATATCAGAATATTATGGGGGTACAAATATTTTGGATACATGAATTGCTTTTGTACAGTTTAAGTTATAAGTTTGCTCATCACCCAGATAGTATACATTGTACCCGTTAGGTATGATTCCACCCTTACCATCCTTCTCTCTCCCACCTGCTTAATTACCAGTGAGTAGTTTCACTTCCTTGTGTCCACATGAGTGCTGATCGATTAGTTCCCATTTAATAGTGAATACATGTAGTGCTTGTTTTTCCATTCTTGGGATACATCACTTAGGAGATTAGTCTCCTATTCCATCCAGGTTATTACAAAAAATATTAAATCATCATTTTTTATGGCTGAGTAGTACTCCATGGTATCAACATACCATAATTTATTAATCCGTTCATGAATGGACACTTGAATTGATTCCAAATATTTGTAATTGAAAATTGTGCTGCAATAAACATTCAAGTGCAAGTGTCTTGTTTATAAAATGTCCTTTTTTCTTTTGGGTAAATACCCAGTAGTGAGATTGCTGGATCAAATGTTAGGTCTACTTTTAGTTCTTTGAGGAATCTCTATACTCCTTTCCATAGTGGTTGTACTTAATGTGAGGTCCTACCAACATTGTGTAAGTGTTCTTTTCTCTCTGCATCCACTCCAGTGTCTATTATTTTGAGACTTTTTGATAAAAGCCATTCTTGCTGGGGTGAGGTGATATCTCATTGTGGTTTTAATTTGCATTTCCTAATGATTAGGGATGTTGAGCTTTTCTTCAGATGTTTTTTATTGGCCATTTCGCTGATTTTCTTTTAAAAGCTTCTGTTCATGCCTTTTGCCAACCTTTTAATGGGGTTGATTGATATTTTTTTCTTGATGATTGGATTGAGTTCTTTATAGATTTTGGTTATTAGCCCTTTATCAGATGTATAGCTTGCACAAATATTTTCTCCCATTCTATAGGTTATCTATTCGCTCTATTGAGTCCTTGGTTGTACATGAGGTTTTTATTTTGATTAATCTTTAATACTGTACTACAGTCTTTTTCCAAAGAATATTTTTTCAATATGGTTTTATTGTTTTAATTTCTTATAAAATTTCATATAGCTGTCTTGAAACTTGCATTTATGATTAATAAACGAGATTATTAATAGCTTTACTTGATACTTCTTTTAATCATGCCATTTTTAATTGAGGGCATTTCACTAAGAATGTGTTGAGGTTCCTGTTACTGTAAAAAAGAAAGTCTGCTAAATGGAAACTATTCTCAATTTTTTTTGTATAAAATACTTAGATCAGGCCAGGCGCGGTGGCTCATGCCTGTAATCCTAGCACTCTGGGAGTCCGAGGCAGGTGGATTGCTCGAGGTCAGGCGTTCAAAACCAGCCTGAGCAAGAGCGAGATCCCGTCTCTACTATAAATAGAAAGAAATTAATTGACTAACTAAGATATATATAGAAAAAATTAGCCGGGCATGGTGGTGCATGCCTGTAGTCCCAGCTACTCGGGAGGCTGAGGCAGAAGGATTCTTGAGCCCAGGAGTTTGAGGTTGCTGTGAGCTAGGCTGACACCATGGCACTCACTCTAGCCTGGGCAACAAAGCAAGACTCTGTCTCTAAAATAAAATAAAATAAAATACTTAGATCAAATATGTTCATAGAAGTCCTATTTCTGACTGTATTCAAAATTCTTTTCTTTAACAAACATTTTCCAAGGTAATCCTCATGAAATGAATAATTTCTACTTGTTATTATGAATGCTTCGCTAAATTTAGATGTTAACAAAGTTGTAGGCCCTCTCAATTTATTTCCATTATGGTCTACTACATAAATTTATCCATGAAATATAAGAGCCCCCTAAAACTTTGCTTCCCACAAATCCAGCTATTGCAAAGCATAATTATGTTTAAAATCTTTTATATCTTTGGACTCTTATTATTGAATTTGCTAAGTGTTTTTCTTGCATTATGAAGAAATAAGTTTTAATGCCTTTAAAAAATGCCACCTCACTGAAATTTTTAAAACTGATTTCTTTGGTGCTTAATTTATTAAGTTTCTTAGTTAAAGTTTGAAACTGATTTAGAAAAAGATGCAACCAAAATTTAGAGGATTCTTTTACTTAATCTCAAAACATCCTGGGACACTTAGATTCATTTTCAAAGTCATTCTTGAGAGGCTTTAATATTTCTTAAATCCAAGTGTTAATGGACAACAGCAAGAAAAAGCACATTATTCCACGTTATGCTATTGTTTTCTAATAATAGCTTTGTCACAAAAAATAGTTCTATTAATCTAGGAATATTTAAAATTATTTGTAAGTTTTTCAACTATAGATTCTATTTTAATTATATGAATATCACAACTAATTTGAATCAAAATATGAATTGTGTGTGAACCATGATAAATTCCAAGTATATTTCCTGGTCTATACTTTTTTAATTTGATTAAAACAATGTATATGCCATGGTATATGTAACAAAATTTGTATTTATAATTTAACAACTGAAAAAAATGACTTTAGAACATCTTTACTTAATTCACAATAGCATTACCTATAATTTTCAGATGTCTTATCTTCAATAAAACAAACATGCCAAACTTTAGTTTAATGAATAGGAGAAAAAAAATTTTATTAGCATTAACTGATTATCTATTTGAAATTTCTGATGTTATTAATATCAAGCTGACATCTTTTAACTATGTGTGAAGTTATCTGCTAAATGAGCTGACACATTAACAACTATCACATTCCTTTTTGTATGTACAGAGGAACTTACAAAAAAATAAGGAATATAATTTGGGGACAGTCATTTGATCTGAATGAAAAAGATATGCTTCCCAGAGTGATATTTAAGAATATCTTCTACATCTATAACTAACTCACCATCAGCAGGCAGTCTTCTAAAATAGTTATCAATATTTAAAATAGATGCCAATGGTTCTTCAAGTCATGTGTGCCTGTTTTGCATACAGTCAGTGATGTCATTAATATCTTATTGTGAATTGTTAATAGTGACATACTTTAGGGGCAAAGTACATATTCAACATCAACTGTCTAGGAACAGGTAAATTTGAAACTTAACATTTATTAAAATGTAAATTATTTGAACTTATTACCTGGTAAGTATTTGATGTAGAATAAGAAATACTCATCAATACACAATAAAATATGTAAATGGTTGTAGATTAATACCAAGGGTTGGCAAACTTTTCTGTAAAGGGTCAGCTAGTAAATATGTGAGACTTCCTGAACCATATGTTCTCTATGGCAATAACTCAACTCTGCTGTTGTAGGTTGAGAACAGCCATAGACAATATGTAAAACAGTGAATATCGCTATGTTTAAGCAGAACTTTGTTCACAAAAATAGGTGGAAAGTCACATTTGGCTCACAGTTATAGTTTACTGACCCTTGATTTGTACCATACAGAGACCAGAACTCTATAGCAAGATCATATAGACAATTCTCTATAAACTCCACTACAAGACTGGCCTCAATTTTGCTCTAGTATACAACATAATTTCCTGTGGTTCCCACTGACCAAGTTTACTGGCAGCCAGGCAGTATTATCAGTAACCTTCTCTTCCTACCAAATGAGATAAGAAGGGATTAGCTGTTTGTTGTGGCTGTTTGTGTCTTCAAAATCCTACAAGCTGTCCTTAAAAGATATGTATGTGTGTATATATGTGTGTGTATGTATATATATATATATGTGCGTGTGTATATATATATATATACATATATATATATGATAATTTCTACACTACTAGAAAAGACCATGGTGGAATTTAAAGTACAAAGTGGCTATTTATCAAACTCATCCCTGTTTATTTTAATGCAGCTATAAATAATAGTACTTAGGTAAAAAATCCGGGACAAATAGCAATTTGATA